CTGGCCCGGCCCCGCCCCCGCCCCCGCCGAACCTCGAGGAAGCTGGTGTAGTCGTTCTCCAGCCGCGCCCACACCTCCGGTGCCAGGAGCGGGGGCAGCGGCTCCGTGGACAGAGTCAGGTCCGGGGCGCCCAGGAAATTAGGACTAGAAGACAGGCAGGGGGCTGATGCGGCGGCGGCTGCCCCCCTCCCCTGTGGCCGGGCTCAAAGCCTGACGTCATCACCAGCCTTTACCGGAGGGTCCCGGACCGGGGCCTCTCTGGTCACACACTCCGCCCCGCACCCCGCCCTCCCGGCTTCTGTGCCAACCCCACCTCGCCCCACAAGCTTCTCAATGCCGAATGTCCTGGCGCTCTGGCAATCGGCTGGGTGCACAGAACACACAAGGACGGCTGTGTAGATGGATCTCGCTCTGCCAGGCTGCCTCTGAAGTGACCTCTACCCTCACAGTCGGGGCACACCCAAGACTGAGCTCTAAGCGCCCCCAGCACCACGCAGCTCAGGGAACTGCCACTATCCAGCCCACACCAGGGAAGCCGAGAGAGGGGCACACAGCAAATTGTGCCCAGGACTATGGGTACCCTCTCCCCACTCTCTCTCCGGCCCGTGCGGCTGGGGAGCGCTCACGAGGGAGGTAACCCACCCCACGGCACCGCAGGCGGAACGGCCTGTGCCCTGCGGCCGGGTGCCCGTCCAAAGGGGAGAGCAGGGGCGAGATCCAGCCCAGCCCAGCCGCTGTGAGCGCGCGGTCGTGTTCTGCCTGGACTGGCGCCCTTTTCTTAATTCGCCCAAAGGCACCTTGTGGTCTGGCATAGGCTCTCTAACGGGGCTCCACACCCTCCCCCACGCTTTCCAGCTTCAGGAACCGGCGCCTCGGTGCCCCTTAGAAAGACCGTGGCGGGAGCGCACCCTGACCGAGAACCGGGAGGAAGGAATGTCAAAGGCACCGGCATTTTTGACGGCCAATCAGCCGCCCTCTCCCAAGGAGGAAAGGGAGGAGCCCTGCGCTCCTCAGGGTTTCCGAAGGCCTCCAGGTGAGCAGTGCCAGCCCTCCCTGCTGTCCACGGTGCCCTGGCTGAGACCTCACCTGCCGTAGACATTGGCGGCCCAGTCCAGCAGGATGTACAGCTGCTCGCAGCCGCGCGCGTCGTGCGCGAGCTCCTGGAGGCGCTGGGCCACCGCGCTGTGGAAGGCGCGCAGGTAGACCTCCCACGCCGAGAAGCCGGCGGCCACGTAGGCCGGCTGCACCTCCAGCTGCACCTTCTGCAGGTCGCGGCGAACCAAGCCGCCGAGCTCCGCCAAAAGCTGGGCCAGGCCCGACGCACCCCCGGCTACCTCCGGAGCCTGCCCTGCGCCCGCCTGCTGCACACGCTCCTGCGCGCTCCGCCTCACGGCGTCCTCCCAATGCTGGCGCCAGCGGCGTGGTGTGCGCAGGAAGTCGCCGTCTGCAGGGGACGTCGGGTGGGCCTCCTCTTCCGCGCGCACCACTTGGGCCACCTCCGCCAGCGCGGCCGCGTCCACGCCGTCTGGGCCCAGCGTCTCGCGCACGATGGCGGCTATCTCCGCCGCCAGCCCGTCGTAGTGCAGGCACACGTCCATGGCGCGCCGCGCGAAGCCCGTGGGGTCCTGCTCGAAGGTGTGTGAAGCTTTCTCCGCCACTAGCCGCGCCTCCAGATGCTGCAGCTGTTCGAAGGCTGTCAGCAGCTTTCGCTCGGTGATGAGGTCCGCCACGGATTTGCCTTTTTGCAAGGGCAGGCGAGGAGAGGGGCGGTGAGGGGCGCTGCCCCAGCAGCCTGCCCCCTCCACCCCCAACCCCCGTCTGACAGATGCGGACCTGGGCTTCCCCGCCCCAGAGCTCAATGGAAGGTCTGCTGAGCAACGTCCTCCACGGCCACAGCTGTCCCTCCGAATCGCCTTTGAGGAGGCAGAACCCCAGGCCCCAAGCCGGGCCGACAGCTGTGTTTTGGGTCAGCCCCTGCCTTCCTCACTTTCAGCCCAAACCTTCGCCCCTGCTCCCACCCTCGCCCCAGCTCTGCAGAGCTGGGCCCCCTGGTCTCAGGCGCTGTCCCGATGCAGGTCCCACGGGGTCAGAGCTCAGGCTGTGTTAGTTATGCACTTCGTGTGCTGTCCCCTGCCCTGGGCCAGCTCCGCGCCCCCCTCCACTCCCCAGGAGGCCTCTACCTCCACCTGCAACCCCCCTTCAGGGCCCAGCTCCAGTTCATCCTGGCCTGGGCAGCCCTCTGACCTCCCCTGCAGGCAGCCATGGCTCCACGCACCCCCTGCGGCCCTGTGCCTGGTCCATCCCCGAAGTTCAGCCAGCAACCAGGCCACAGAGGGCCGTGGAGAGGCGGAGGCTCTGGCCCCAAGCCAATGTGGATCCAAATCCCCTTCCTCCACTTTCCAGCGAGGAAACTTGAGGCAAGTCACTTAACCTCTCTGAGCCTCGCCTTCCTCGCCCGCCCAGTGAGGGCCGCCTTCGCCGAGAGGTTGGGAGAATTTGAAATGCGATTGTGCAGCGGGCGAGGATCGGGGACGCTGGTGAGCAGAGCCGTCAGGAAGTGTGGGTTCTCCCTCGCCGCCCCCGGCCTCGCTTTCCTCCCAGGCTTTGTGAGGCTCTCACCTGCCTCGGTTTCTGGCTCCTCAGGCCCCGCCCCAGTGGACAACTGCCGGCCGACACCATCCGTGACTCTTGGCACAGCGGTGGCCTGGCACTGATCAGCAGCCGGGCTGTCATTCAGGGCACGGCGCCGCAAGGACTGGAACAGGAAGCGGGAGCTGCGCCGGAGCAGGCCCGGGTCCTCCTCGGAGCCCGGGCCTGAGGCCCGCTGGCTCGCCCGGGTGAAGGCCCGCCGTAAGGTGCCCAGGCCCAGCCGCGCATCCCCACTGCCAGGCGCATCCACGCTGCCAGCCCTCCCAGTGACCGGGGTCTTTGGCTCCGCAGGCTCCTTGGGGCTGTGCAGCTCTGGCCCAGAGGTCACTGTCCGAGGTGACGGCATCTTGACAGCAGGAGAGCTGGGGGTGAAAGAGAGGCTCAGGAGGCCTGGAGGGTGCCCAGCCCTGGGGAGCAGGCACAGAAACCCTTGAGAACACTGTGGGCCCTGGCGGGGCCCAGCAGCTTGTCAAGGAAGCTTCTCTCAGGAGGTGAGACTCAGCCTGTCAAAACAGTGTCATTCGGCAGCTCTCGTGGCCCGAGCTATCTGTGCCGGGCTGCAGCCAGCACTGAGTTGCAGACAGCTACCTCCTCGAGAAAGTCTTCCCTGACAGCACCTTCCAGAAGGGTCTCAGGTGCACGTCCTCACAGGCTCTGCCAGGCCAGACCCTCCATCGGAGTTGGAGAGGGGACCTGGACATGCAGGTTCTGGGGCCTGGCCCAGCCCGCTGTCCCCAGGGCTGGACCCAGCAACCACATCCTGGATCTTAGGTCCTGAGACCTAAAATATCCCACCTCCGCAGTCACCACCCCCAGAACCCTCAGCTCACCCCATTCAGCCCATCAGGCCCAACTGCTTCAGCACTCAGGGACCCCCGTGGAAAGCCACCTCCTTCCCAGGGTATCTCAGAACCGGAGGGAGGCGGTGTCAGGGTTGAGGGCACTGGTGGAGGCAGAGGCCACCCGCAGCTTATCAGGGCCTTGCAGCCCTTGGTGGGGGGTGGTCCCAGGAGCCATCGGTCCGTATCTAACCACTGCTGTTTCTCCCTCACTGCCTCTCTCCCCCCACCCCCGCCATGTGTTCTGGCCTTAACCCCATAGGGGGTGAGGACGGGGTCCCTCGAGTATGGGGGTGCCAATCAGAGGCTGGCTCTGTCCCACTCGGAGCTCGGGTTCTCACCACCCGGGCCCCCCAAGCCCTGCCCACACCCTCTTTCAGCCCAGCAAGGCTGAATTTGACTTTCTGGCTTTAGGTTAAGCCAGGGATGGGAGAAGGGAGAGAAATTTCTCTGCCTGCTGGGACCTCCTGCCCACGCCACTGTGAAGAGTGGGGTGGGGTAGGGGTTCCGGCTCACAAGTTTTCATTTTAGCCTTGGAGAAACTGGGACCGAAGGGAGCGCAGAAGTCACTGACCAAGAGGCTGAGCCCCAGCCCATTCCCGGGTCCCCCTGCCCCCCAGGACAAAGGCCGGAGCCAATACCTGACCCTTGGGTGACCCCAAGCGGGAACAGCCTCTCCCCAGGCCTTGGTTTGCCTGGGGTGGGCAGGGCCCAGGCCCTCACCCACACCTACACCTTCCAGCGAGATGTGTGTTCAGGGGTCAGGCAGGCAGGGCTCAGCTGAGGCCTGAGTTCCCTTGCCAGAGGCGGCTGAAGGAGGCCCCAGCGAGGGAGGGGTAGGCCCAGGTGATTAATGGGGGCCTTATCAGCCCCGCCCCGGGCCACAGGTCATTGTCCTCCCCTGGCGCCAGGACTCAGGGACCCTGCCCTGACTCAGACTGGCCCACACAAGGCAGGAAGCATTATCACAGGAACCGTGTGACTCCCCCGCACTCTCCCCTTCCTGGCGCCCCTCGGCGCCCAGCAGGGGCGGGCGTGGTGCCGAAGAGAACTGCCCCAGCTATGCTGCGCCCACCCCTGCTACGGGCTCTGTCACCAGGGGGATGTGGGGAAGGACAAGCTGAGCCCAGTCTTAGTTGGGAAGACATCACACTTACTAAGCACCTACTGTGTGCCCAGTCCAATGCCTGGCACACGTCACATCTTTGGGACAACAAAGTTTCAGGGTGTCATTCATCTTATTCCCACATGAGCAAACAGGCTCAGAGAGCAGCAGGGTCCTGCCCGAAGCCACACAGCTGAGGGGTGGGAACCCCCACCAGCCCAGGCCTGTCAGGAAACCTGGGAGCAGAGGGTAGATTGCCCTGCCTCCCAGAACCAGTGACTCGAGGTGGCTGCCCAAGGAACCCTTTCTCTCAGCACAGGGACCCAAGGTTGGGGCGGCTCCCAGATGCCAAGATGGCGTCAGACTTGAAGGTCTCCCCAGAAGCCTAGGCAGATTCTGGGGGGAAGCAGGGCAGCTGGTGGCTGGGGCTCATGGGAGGTTACACAGGCAGAGACGGCTCAGCCACCCTCATGCCAAACCAGGGCTGCTCTGAAGGCCCATTGGGGTCCCCAGCGAGTCCCTCAGTCTCCTTTGACCCTGCTCCTGCCGCTTCCCAAGCTGTTCTTGACCTTCCCAAAGCACAAGGCAGCCAGGTCGCTCCCTCGCTTTAAACCCTTCTGTGGCTCCCACCGCCCTCAGGCCAAGCCCGAGTCCTCAGTTGGGCATTCGCAGCCCACCATCCAGGACTGAAGTTCTCCAGCCTCCCCTCCGGACTTCCCCGACCCACCCCCACCCCGCGCGCCTGGCCGCCCCTCTGTCCCCCAGCCTGTGCAGCCTCCGGGCTTCTGCTCAGGCCGCCTCCATTCTCAGCCTCCACCTCTTTGTTCTTCAAACCTGACCTGGACTTCAGAAGCCAGAGGTGTGGTGCCGCCTCCTCCAAGGAGCCCTTGGGCTGTGCTGCACCGCCTCTGCTCAGCGGGCACTTGGGACTGTCCCTGTGGTGATAAGGCCCTCCTTGCTGGCCTGGGAGCCTTTGTCCTTCTGCCCCACCCCATCACCTCAGAGCCAGCCTGGAGGAGTGAACCATCCGTGTCAGGGAAGCTGTCACCTGGGCTGGCCCTGCTGAGCGCCATGCTGGGGTCTGCTGACTGGTTCTGCTGCCCGCACCGTGGCCCCTGTCCCATACCTGCCTCCCCACACCTGTGGGGCCCCTCTCTGGCTCTGTCTCCAGTGCCCTGAGTGTCCAGAGGCCCTGGGCCCCACAGTCTCCAGGTCAGGCCAACGCAGCTGCAGAGCCAGCGGCAGGGGTGGGAAGGCCGCCCAAAAGATGTGGTCACTGGGAGCTCCTCGCCGGGGCCACTGTCTGTGACTAAGAGGTTGGGTCTGAGTCTCCCCCACTTCCTACCCAGCCTTGGCTTCTCCCCACTTTTCCTAGACCTGTTCTCCCACCTGCCTCGCCCTCAGTGCCCAACCACCAACCCCCACTTACCCTGAGCCTGGGCCATCACCCAGTCCTGCCGGCCTCCAAACCAGCCACCTCAGGCAGGTGACCGCCTGCACCCTGGGCCATACCCCAGGCTGTCTCCCTTTTCCCTTCCACCTGCCATCCCCCATCACCTGATCACAGGTGCTAACTGCGCTCCTTCCTGGACCCCTTGGATCCCGTCTCCTCAGAGCAAGCAGGGGGGGAGGGGTCTTACAGAAACATAAACCCTCCTTGAAACCCTTCCTTGCAACCTAAGAGTCTCCTCCTGAAAATAAGAAGTCAGAATATGTGTTCTCCTACATTTCACATTTGTCTGGAAGAACGTAAGGCAGTAGAGCAAGCAAAATAAATATGAGACATAAATATTGGGAAGGACCATATCCACAGGAGATATGACCGTCTGCTGAGAGAGCGGCTCTTCATCCCCCTGGGGAAGCCTATTAGTAAAAGGCACTTAAAACGCTCTCCCTCAGCAGCGACAAAACATGAAACCCCAGGGCACCAACACCCTCGGAGAAACGGACTCCTTAGCTGGGCATCCAGGCTGCTTCTCCCACTCACTCACCAGCTCTAACCTCTCTGAGGCACTCACCTGTCCTCCACACTTTGCACAGGCTGTTCCCTCTGCCAACAGTGACCTCACCCCCACGTTCTCCAGCTGCCAATTTCTTCAAGGCTCAACACAAGGGGCTCCTCCTCCGAGAAGCCTTCCCTGATCAGCTGAAGCCCAGGCCACAGTCTGTACCTCCTGCTCTGGGCCTAGTCTAGCCCTGGGCATATCTTCCCCCATGACTGAGGGACAGAGGTATCTACCCTTTGACCAGGACCCCCCCACACACCTGGACAGGGGGCGGGGCTGAGCCAGCCCTCAGCCAGGGCTAGTACACAGCAAGTGACCGAGAAAACAGATAAGCGTATTTAATGTAGGAGTGTAAGCCTGTGAGTGCGTGGGGGCTTTGCACCTCTTTGCGCTGGCTTACGTGTGTCTCCCTGTGTGTGCCTCAGAGGGTCTGCAAGTGGTTCCCTCCATGAGTCTGAGTGTCTGTGCCTCACGCATGTCTCTATGTCTGCGTCTGTCTGTCCGCTTTCTGCATGTGTCTAATCCCACTGGCATTTTGGCCTGGGCTCCAAGCCAAGGCCCTTGGCCTAGAAGGCCTTTCATAGAACCAGAGCAGTCTTCGGTCCCTTGAGTCCCCACCCACAGCCTACAGCACCCCCGTGGCCCTCCCGCTCCACCTGCACGGAACATACCTGCCGAGTGGTAGACACTGGGCGCTGGCAGAACAGGGCCACCAGGAGAGGCCGCTGAGCAGGGTCCTCAGAGCCAGGCCCAGGCAGTGAGGCCTCTGGAGCAGCCAGAGCAAGTGACCAACAGCTGGGACTTCCCAGCTGTGGTCAGTGACGGCCCAGGCCCACCGGCCCCACCCCCAGTCCCACCCTCCACCCTGCCCAGCACTTTCACTTTCAGAAATGCCCCCACCCCCTTCCCATTCCAGAGGCAATCTCTCCAACCTTTGATTCCTGGCGCCCAGGGCTCAGGCTGAGGTTCAGGGGCCATGGGGTGGGGACGGAGGAGGCAGCCCTCCTGAGCAGTGTGGCCGGACACGCGGGGGGGACTGCTCTGGCTGCCGGCTCCTCCTGCGGTCGGACCCAAGCCAGCGGGAGCAGGCGCTGCCCAGTCCACAGCACCTTAGCCTGAAAAGACAGAGGTGCCAGCACCAGGCCTGTCTGCCAAGCTCATCCTGAGAGCGCCCACCTGCCACTGAGAGCCCAGAGAGCAGAAACGTGGGCCTCGGGCGCGGGGGCACGGTGACAGCAGAGGGAGTGTCGTCAGCCATGCCACGGAGGGCTTCAGCAGCTGGCAGAAGGGGCACCCTTGGGTGCGGAGGGCTGGCTCTCTGGGCAGGGCCTGCGCCAGGTGGACAGGGAGCATGGCCCTGCTCCTCCCCGGTGGGTCAGCTTGGAGACATTTTGTGGGAAGAGTCACCGAGACTTCCCAGAAGAGGCAGACCCCACAGTCGTGGGGAGATTCTGCTGTGAGCGTCCTAGGGAAAATTCTTAGGGAAAATCCGAGGAGGACAGATCCAGGCCTGTCCCACCTGGGCTGGAGCCACCAGGGTAGGGGCCTGAGAAGAGAGGTACCCTGCCTAGCTTTCTGCTCCGAGGACAGGGTCTTCCGACTGGGGCGGCCCTGACGGACGCGGGGGCCCCTCAGGCTGACCCTCCTGTTCCCCAGCTCACAGGGCACAGCGGGGTCCTGGGACCTCCACCTGTGGGTCACCTCCACTCAAAAGACAGGGCCCTGCAAAGCTGGTGGTGCCCTGGGCCTGCGGATTGTTCCTGGACTCGCCCCAAGTCCCAGCCGCACCCCACGCCCTCCCCCACCCGGGTCCGCTTTACAGAAAGAGACTAATATTTCTTTTATTCTATTTCCATGTTGTTTTCCCCCAACTTTCTGAGTAAAATCCCTTTGGGAAAGTTCCAGCCTGTCTCAGAGGAGCCTGGGCCGGGCTGGTCTGGCTGGGGTCCGAAGGCGGAGGGAGTGGGGGTCGGGAGGGCAGGCGTAGTCCCCGCCACCACGTGGGGCTGCACTTCTGACTCCGAGTCCCGGGCTTCTCCTCCATAAATGGGGTTGCTATTGGGGTCCAAGGGGGTCACCTCCATGGAGGACCTGGATCCCAGGTCAGAAGGGCAGGGAAGGGCCCTCACCATCAGACACTTGTCTGTCCCAGAGGTTCCTGGGAGGCCAGGCGCTCTCGCCCGGCAGGCAGGGCCAGAGGCGGGTCAGGACGGAGATGGGTCTGGGCTCCACCCGCCGCCCCTAACAGTTGGCCTGGGCGGGAGACGGTGCCTCTGTCTGAGCCTCAGTCTCTTCAAGGTGAATAATGCAAAGGATAGGTGGCCAGTGGGCGGAGACGCCCGTTCTTTCTGCAGTGACCCTAACCGTCGCCAGGGGGAGCCGCGGGATGACTGCCACGGACGTTTCCCCGGGTCGCCCAGAACCAAGGCTCTGGGGGCGGGGCCCTGGGTGAGGAGGCGGGGCTTAACCAGGGGCGGGGCATCTGCCTCTGACACCGCCCCCGACTGTTCCCACCCGCGCAGGTCCTGGCGAGTGGCGGTGGGTGGGCTGGGGTCCTGCCGGCCGTGGGCCCCTGAACTGTGCGGGGCGAGCGGATGGCAGGGTCCACATGCCCTGCCCGCCGGCACTGGGCTGCCTGCCGGGGTCTGACGCCCCACCCTCCAGCTCACCCCGCACGGGTCCCTGCACCTCTGATTATGGGTCGCCCCACCCAAGACCTGTTCTGTTACAGGATGTGCTCCAGCTGCCACGCGGGGGTCTCACGCACACCTGGGATCCTGTCCGAGCTCAGCTTTTTGTCAGCTGCGAGACCTTGGGAAAGGGGTGTCACACTGCCCGAGAGGGGTGAGGGTGAAATCGCCACCCGACATTCCACAGCAGGAACCCGGAAATCACCCCGGCTTGCTCAGGTCCCTCACCCTACATTCCAAGTGTCAGCAAGTCCTGGCCACACTTCCTGGGAAGTGTCTGCCCCCCTTTCCCACCCACTGGGGACCCGACAGGAAGGTCTGGAGGACAGCCCAGCATCTCTCCCAGGCTGCAGACCACTGGAGGGCCCACAGAGGCGTCCTTGACCTGTGTATGGGGCCCATGTGGGTCACCGGGCTAAAATTAAAGCTGACTCCCAGGCCGCAGAGCAAACTTCTGCACCTCCGACCTCTCTGCATTTGGGGTGAAGCGGGCTATTTTTAGAAGGTAGGCGGGTTGCAGAAAGCACCTCATTCATCCTGGAGGTTAGCAAGGACTCCGGGAAAGAATAAAGGGGCCTGTGTCTCCCGCCTCCCACCCCATTCACCGGCCATCCCACCCTGCCTGGGCCTGAGGACTTCGCTGTGCTAACATTTATGCCGGACTGCCCCCCCCCTCCCCCGCCAGGCCCGGAGCTTCCTCAGGCCCCAGTCAGGCTAGCCCAGGGCAGGGGGCCTGCGTGGGGAGATGGGGAGGAGGCGGCACGCCTGGGGAGTGGGCCCAGGCAGTGCACATTTCTGACCCCCCTGCCAACCCAATGGGCCAGCAGGGCTTCCCGGTCCTCGTGCAGTGGATCAGAGCCAAGAGACAATGTCGCTGGAGCCCACGGAGGGACAGGACGCTCGCGTGGTGCAGGAGGAGGTTCCACCCAGTCCCCCGTGTGGGCCCAGCCTAGCGGGCTAGCTTCCCAACATAGCCTCGGGGCCCAGTCTTCACAGCTCAGTTTCCTCGTCTGTGAAATGTGACTTGTGTGAGATTTAATGAGATGGAGGCCGGAGCGGCACACCCTACCCCCTATGCCATTCGTATGCCCCACGTGCTCGGTGTAGAGGGGGCAGAGAGAAAGACTGCACTCTTCAGGCTGCGGGCCCCGGCGGGGTGGGGGGGGAGGCCACCGGGACGAATCTGGCCCTGCCTGGGGTGGCCTGGGCTGGGGCAGAGCAGAGCAGAGGGTCCTAGGCGGGGGCACCGAGGAGCAAATGCCACAGCCCCCGGACAGCCCCCCGACCCCCACCCCCTGCAGAACTCCCGAGGGGGCTCTCGCTTAGCACCCTGGCCTGGTAGAGCTGGGCTCCGAGCCGAAACCCTTGCCCGGAAGGCCACTGGCAGAACCAAACTTGTCCTCAGCCCCTCAAGTCCATACCAGTTGTGTCCACTGACCACCAGGAAGAGCCTTTATTCCTGCTTCAGACCGCGGAACAGGGAGGGGTGCGACCCAGCCCCGGGCTGTCATCGGGATTGGGCAGGGGCTTGGGCGGGGCCAGACTCGGTGAGGCTGGAGGTGTGGCCCGGCCACCTGGGGCTGAGGCCCTCTCGCCTGTCAGAGGGCAATGGCAGGGTGGCCGGACAGCAGAATCCGGCCGTGTCCTGGTCCTGTTACTGGGCCGTGGAGTCCTGGGCCTTGGAGCCGGCACACTGGCTGCCAGCTTCATCCGGAGCCTTCCCTGGTGCTCCCGGCAGAGTCGGCGAAGGGGCTGCAGAAACACAAAGGCCTCCATGTTTGCGGGGCTGCGTTTCCAACAGGTTTGCAAGGAAGCGTGGGCATGGGGGCTGCAGCCCAGGGGGAGCAGGCAGCTGAGCTGGGGCTGGCCACGAGTTCCCCACAGACGAAGGGGAGGGAGCGGGTGCTGGACGCCCAGTTCTGGTCTGGGAGGCAGAACCAGGAGTACCTGTCCCAGGCTCATCCACCAGAGTGAGGGGGCCGAGGAGGGCAGGGAGGTGCAGGCCAGACCGGGAGACTGCCCCAGAACCCGAGCGCCACCAGGGGGCTGTCCGGTCCTGAGTAGAACCTGACAGGTGGAGGGAGCCGTGGGGAGGGGGGTCATGGCATGGACAGGCCCTTTCTGGGCTCAAGCTAGGGGATGGCTGACTAGTAAGGGCTGTCACAGAGGAGGGGAGAGAGGGGGCAGGGTGCTCACAAACATCAGCTGAGGCCGAATTCATTTCCTCACCAGGGGCAGACATCCCAGGGCATAGCTCAGCCCTCAGCTGCCCAGCCTGCTCTTTCCTGTACCTCGGCCCTGGCTCCTGGCTGACCCCTCTCCTAGTCACGCATCCTCCCAGCTTCCCCAGCTTCGGCGGTCCCTCAGCCTTTAACCGAGGCTCCTGTGGCCAGGACAGGAGCCTGCCACCGGGCCGGCCCGTCTCCCCACCTCGTGGGACTAGGCCTACTCAGCACCCTCACTCCTTCCAGGCCCCCGTGGGCAAAGATGATGAATCAGGAGAGAAGAGGACAGAGGAGGCAAGACTGGTTGGTGACAGGTGACAACGTGCCACCGTTCACCCAGCAAATGCTCACTGCATGCCTCCCCGGTGCCGGAACGGGGCCCCGACGATGGACGAGGGGGCCTCGGTGTGCAGGTGGGAAGGAGGATGGTGACAGGAAGAGGGTCAAGGCCAAGCAGAGGCTCAAAGGGCAGGCAGATGGGCGGGGTATGAGCCTGCTGGGGGGGGACAGTCCTGCTCGCAAAAGCGGGCAGGAAGGAGACCCTGCTTCGGACTCCTTTCTACGCCCCCACAGCTGGCCCCTCACTCACCAGCAGCAGCTTGGCTCTGGGGGGGCCCCCTCTGGGCGCCTTCCGGGGGCCAGCGCAGCTCCCCACTCTCCACGGCACCCATCTCACTGGGCTCCACCACGATCGAGGGCAGCCGCTGGCCCAGCCGAGGGCCTTTCTCCCGGATGCCCACCGCAGCCTGCGGGGAGGGTGGATGGGGCTTAGGCGGTGCCAGGCCCTGAGCTCCCCACTCCCCCCCGACGCCGGTCTTGGGGCCCTCACACACACATCGCTGAGAGCACCCCAGTTCCTCCCCCATCCCACTGCT